TCCATAAATGGTGCTGGGAAAACTGGCTAGCCATGTGTAGAAGAATAAAACTGGACCCCTACCTCTCATCACGTTAAAAAAATTAACTCAAGTCAGACTCGGTGGCTCAGCCTGTAATTCCACACCTTTGGGAGGCTGAGGTGAGTGGATTGTCTGAGCCCGTGGGTTCGAGACCTGCCTGAGCAGGCGAGACCTCATCTCTACAATAAAAATCAAAAAAATTAGCCAGGCGTGGTAGTGCGCACCTGTAATTCTGGCTACTTGGAAGGCTGAGGTGGAAGGATCACCGGAGCCCAGCAGGTCCAGGCTGCAGTGACCGGAAGCGGCCACTGCACTCCAGTCTGGGCAACAGAGTGAGACTCCAAACTCAAAAAAAAAAAAAAAAAAAAATTAACTCAAGATGGATTGAAGACTTACATATAAGACCAGAAATCATAAAAATCCAAGAAGAAAACCTAGGAAACACTCTTCTAGACATCAGTCTAGGCAAGACCCCAAAAGCAATTGCAACATATAGACAAATGGGACTAGTTAAACTAAAAAGCTTCTGCACAGCAAACGAAATAATCAACAGAGAGAACAAAAAACCTACAAAATGGGAGAAACTATTTGCAAATTATGCCTCAGACAAAGGCTAATATCCATAATCTATAAGGAACTCAAACAACTCAAGATGGGAAAAAAAAAAAAACCATCAAAAAGTAGGCAAAGAACATAATTAGACACTTCTCAAAAGAAGACACACAAAAGGGCAACAAACATAAAAATAAGTCACATCACTAATCATCAGAGAAATGCAAATTAAAACCACAATGAGTTATCACACCAGTCAGAATAGCTATTATTAAAAAGCTAAAGAACAACAGATGTTGGTGGGGTTGCAGAGAAAAGGAAACACTCATTCACTGTTGGTGGGATTGTAAATTAGTTCAGCCTCTACGGAAAACAGTAAGGAGATTTCTCAAAGAACTAAAACTAAAATTACCATTTGACCCAACAATCCTACCACTAGAGATCTACCCAAAGAAAAAGAAATCACCATATAAAAAAGATACTTGTATTTTCATTGCAGCCCTATTTATAATAGCAAAATCATGGAACCAACCTCAGTGTCTACCAACAGTTGACTGGATAAAGAAAATGTGAAATACACACACACACACACACACACACACACACACACACACACACACACACACAAAATCATGGAATACTATGCAGCCATAAAAGAAAAAATCATGTCCTTTGCAGTAACATGGATAGAGACGGAGAATATCGTGCTAACTGGACTAACTCAGAAACCAAACACCACATGTCTTCACTTATATGGAAGAGCTAAATGCCCACAAAGATGGAAATAACAGGCACTGGGGACACTAAAACGGGAGGAAGTAGAGAGAAGGATTAGGGTTCAGAAATTACCTATTGGGTAGAATGTTCACTATTTGGGCATGAGTCACCTGAAGCCCAATTCCCGTCACTACCCAAGCCCATGGTACAAACATGCACTTGTACTCCCTGAATCTAAAATAAAATAAATGAAACAATTAGGGCAATACATGATTTTCATTTGTAAGTGATATAATTATATAGCTATAAAAATTTATAGGAATCAAATTTAAAACTCCTGGCTAAAATACAAGAATTCAGAAAAACAGTCAGATCTGTAAAACACATACAATTCCATGCTTTCACTTCTCCTAGCAAAACTAGTTCAAAGATATAAGAGGAGGAAAACACTATATCCATATTAGCAAGAAAGAGGTAAAACACATAACTTATCAAACACCAGGCAGGCACATATGAATAAAAGCAACAACAGAAATTCTTATGATATGACATAAACTACAACAAAACCACATAGGGGATGATCTACATATATATATGCATATATTATATACATTCACATTAACAAGGCAAAATCTAGAAGCAAATGTACCAAAGTATTAATAATTATTACCTCTAAATTTTAGGATCGTGGGTAATTTTAACTTTCATCTCTGCAGTGAATTTTCCAGATTTTTCTTTAGTCAACTTGTAAGATCTTTCTACTAAACATTTAGATTTTCTGTGAGGTATGATTTAAATCATGGTATGTATCTTGAAGTTTAAATAATGCATAAAAGTGAATCTGAATTTGACCTAAAAGAACTATACATACTAAGTCTCTCTGACTAAACCAGCAGACCAGAAAACCAGCAGAATAAGCATTTCATCTATTCTTCATGCTGAACATGATTACTGTTCCAGGTGATGGGTTTTAAGGGGCTTTTCAAATCCAATCTGTGATTACAGTTAGGTCTTCATAATAATCAACTTAATTCTACCATTATGTAAATCACTGCCTCATAGAGAGAAACCCTGGTGGAGAAAGAAAAAAGACCCTGCAAGCAAGAATGCCCAGGCTATAGAATGTTCTGGTTAAATTAATGTGCTATTTAACATTTTTTAAAATTCCTTTGATTCAAGCCTCTGAGTTATATGCCCTGCTTGGCCACCTTCCTCAAGATCATGGACACTAGACTTAATGACTGAGGGACACTAGGCTTAATGACTAAAGAGTGTGCAGTGCTTCGGGCTTCCCCAAACATTCCTTTAAACTCAAAGCTGGGGAAGGGCTGAGGTAGGGGTGGAGAGACCTGAGTGGAGTATGTGGGAAACCAGATCACAGGATGAAGACTGCCATTTGAAAAGTAGCATGGTGACATCACTCTTGTTGCTGCTGTTTTGGCCTAATAACAAGGCTAAGAAAGTGAAAGTTCAGAATAGCTGTGACTTTACCAAATATTTATCCTGGGACAATATTATTATTTTTGTTTGGTTGGTGGTTTGGTTTGTTGGCTTTGAGTCGGAGTCTACTGCTGCCCAGACTGGAGCGCAGTGGCACCATCAGGGCTCACTGCCACCTCAACCTCCTGAGCTCAGGTGGTCTTTCCTCTGCAGACTCCGTTGTAGATCAAACTACAGGCACATGCCACCACACTGGCTAAGTTTTTAAATTTTTTTAGAGATGAGGTCTTGCTATGTTGTTCAGGCTGATCTTGAACTCCTGGCTCAAGTAATTCTCCCACCTTGGCATCCCAAAGTGCTGGGATTACAGGCATGAGCCACCATACCCCACCATGAGACAATATTACAAACATTTGAAGGCATTGGAATGATAACATAAAAGTAGTTACCAAAGGACCTCACAAAAATAACTTAGGTATAAGTGGAAAGAATACTTTGAATAACAGCACGTTTCTATAGAAGTCTAATTATTTTATTATATCCTGCTAAAAAACTTGAAACATTAACTTCAATATATTTAACAGAAGTTATTCCTTGCATTACTATTATTTACATGAATTATTATTATATGAACCTAATGGCCAGATAAAGAGAAAACTATACAGCCCTACTATTTAATTAGCCATTCTAGTTTTAGAACGATTTTAATTCAGTCTTACATTAGCACATCTTTTAAAATTGAAATGTCTAATCAGCAGTTGAGAACACATTGGATTTTCTCTGAATCAGACCACTACAAACTACTGTGTGGTTTTTGAACCATCATTTCTTTAAAAATTTCCCTCCCTTACATGTTAAAACTCATTTCAAAGTCCAATTTTATCAGTAAATGGCATCTTGCTACATAGTTCAGGATGGGATTTTTTTTTTTTTCTAAGAAGAGTATAAATATGATAGTATCAGGTTTTCTGACTTGGCAGTAAATAAATAGTATCTCGGCACATTAGTTCACTGAACATTTAACAGATTCTTACTGAGTACCTAGTGTATGTCAGGTGCTCTGAAAAATATCATGCCCCAACTCAATGTGTGGATGCATAAGCACTGATTTACCTTTTTTTCCATCAAAAAAATCAATTCAACTCCATCTACTTAGTTTTTGTTCTACGTAAAGTTAGTTATCAAAGAGACAGGCAGTGAATTCTTCTACGTCATGTTTTTACACATGTATCCCATAAATATGGATTATACATATTCACTTGTTTATCCCGTAACATATGGATTACAGTAGCTGTGCTTCAAGGGTGTATTATTTTCATAGGTAGACCAAAAGAAAGCTTTCACATCTCTGCCTTCTTTTGACCAGTTTCCTCAAAGTCACCTGCCAAGGCATGAAAGCACATCCAGGTGCTGACAAATACTGTGCTCATTACCCACACACTCCCGGAGGACACTGCCAAGTTGTAGAGTGAAGGTCAGCATTTTTGCATTCTTGCCTTAAATTCTCCCTTGAAAGTATCCAGAATTTCCATCTGGTTTATCTATCACACTCAACAAGGGAAAGAACAGAAGTGTGACTCCCAACAGTTTGTATAAATTTACTTTAGAGCCAGGCTCAGTGGCTCAGCCTGTAATTCCAGCACTTTGGGAGGCCGAGGAGAGTGGACTGCCTGAGCCCACAGGTTCGAGACCCACCTGAGCAACTTGGCGAGACCTCGTCTCTACAATAAACCAAAAATTAGCCAGGCGTGGTAGCACACGTCTGTAGTTTTAGCTACTTGGAAGGCTGAGGCAGAAGGATCCCCAGAGCCCAGCAGGTGGAGGCTGCGGTGGCTGGGAGCATGCCACTGTACTCCAGTCTGGGCGACAGAGTGAGACTCCAATTCAAAAAAATAAATTTACTTTAGAGCAAAATTAGGATATGTCTTTGTAGTCCCGAATGCAAGCTCCATCCTTCTGATTCTAAGACTACTACTTTCACAGACAATACTGAAAAGCAAATTACACTAATAATGATAATCACCTCCTATTCTCTCCTCTGCCCTAGCAAGGTTTTGTTTTCCTTTGCGAAAATGACATTTCTCCATTACCATCTCATTCATTGCTATTCACTTTCCTTTCCCTTCCTTGAGAAGCTGTACATGTGAATTAACCAGGTTCCATGCAGCTGCAGTTGAAGAAAACATGGTAGGTTTATTTCTTTTAAGTTATAAATGAGCAACACAAGACTCGCCTCTCTTCGTTCAAGCCAAGTTCTCACAAAAACTTACATCTTTTCCCAGAACTCTGAGCTCGAACTGAGTTTCCTTAAAGTGAACCTTTGTAATCCGAGGCCTGAAAGACAAAGCAGATGGTGTTGGTGTTGGTGTTTTTAAGAATCAATCTTTTGGCTGAGTGTGGTGGCTCATGCCTGTAACCCCATCACTCTGGAACGCCTAGGTGGGTGGGGGGGGTGGGGTTGCTTGAGCCCAAGAGTTCAAGACCAGCCTGGGCAACACATTGAGACCTTGTCGTTAGAAAAAATTTTTAAAATTAGCCAGGTGTGGTGGCATGTGCCTGTAGTCCTATCTACTATGAAGGCTGAGGCAGAAGGGTCTCCTGAGCCCAGCAGGTTGAGGTTGCGGTGAGCTATGATCATGCCGCTTCACTCTAGCCTGGGTGACAGAATTAGACCGTGACTAAAAAAAAGAAAGAAAGAAAGAAAAGAAAGAAAAATTAACCTTTCAGAAATTCTGAGAAGCATTTAATTGAAGAAGATTGGTCTAAACATTCTCCTTAAGAAAAAAAAATTTCATTCTCATTTAATTCTGCATTAAACGCACAGACAAGCTTGGAAACCCCAGGTTGTGGCAGTACTGCCTTCCCAGACACAGGGCAGGGCCATAAACTCCCCAGTCTCTCCAACCCACCCCCATTTACAGCTAAAACTCAGAGAAGTCCTAGATGCACAGCTCCCAGTGGATTGGGTGGAAAATCCTACTAAATAGTCTCCACAGTCAAGAGTCCAAAATTACACTGTCTAAAATTTACAGAGAAAACATATACCAAGGTGCACTGGGAGAAAATTTCACTCATTTATCTATCAACCACTGGAAATGTACCTGTTTTCTTTCCCCCAAGTCTTTCACTGACACAAGAGTCCCATAAGCCTGATACATACTGTGTATAACTTTCATGTCAACTGTGCTCTCAAATAATACCTACCAGAAATACTTCCCCACTTGCTTTTTGTTCTTGTAGACAACAACACCAATTGGAGTTAATCCTAAGAAATACTCAGACTTGTTTTCTCCCTGCAAAAACAAACATATACCTATAACCATGAATTTAGTCACATACAAGCTCTTCATCAAATTACAATTGGACATACAAATATAATTTGTTGGATTAATATTGGGTTTGATTTTTGAAAGACATCAACCTAGAAAGCTAGCCAAGCTATGATGGTAGCTAACTTGCTGCTCCTTTTTTTCAAAGTTTTTCAGAAAACTTTTCTGTCTTAGGGTTAAGTCATACTTGTAACTTCAATTCATTAAAAAGAACCTGGACTGCCAATCAGGTCACTATGACTTACTCAATGTTCCTTACACAGTGGAGTTCAACCGTAGCTACACATTAACTGGAATCACCCATGCAGCTTAAAATGTTGATACCCAAGTGCTACTAAAACCAGTTAAATCAGAATCTCTACTGATGGGGAAAAGTAGCAAAAACACTTAGAAGCCCCAGGTGATTGAGGACCATGGGCTTCTTACAAGTGGATTTTTAAATGGCTTGTCTTGATTTTTACTCTGACATGGACAATCATGAGGCTACTTCACCACTACCACCAACCTCCCCAGAAAGTTCAGGCAGCCACCAGCAGACACACACCTGAATTTTCTGAAGTCTCTTATCATGTTCCTTCCTACTTCTACCTGTAACTTTAAGAATGCTCAAAAATTTTAAAATACAATTTCTTCTGATAAAGATTAGAGAACCTTCACTTCCAGACAATGATAAATCTCAAATAAGAAAATGGGGTCCAGGCACGGCGGCTCAAGCCTCCCAGCACTTTGGGAGGCTGAGGCGAGAGAATTGCCTGAGCCCACGGGTTTGAGACCAGCATGGGCAACATGGTGAGACCTCATCTCTACAATAAATCAAAAATTTAGCTGGGCATGGTAGCACACGCCTATAGTTCCAGCTACTTGGAAGGCTGAGGTGGAAGGATCACCTGAGCCCAGCAGGTCAAGGCTGCGGTGGCAGGGAGTGTGCCACTGCACTCCAGCCTGAGCAACAGAGTAAGATTCCAACTCAAAAAAAAAAAAAAGAAAGAAAATAGGGTGCTGAAATGAAAAAGGTACAGAGTAGGTACCAATGACGTGCACAGCACTGTCTGTCTGTATTAATGTTTTTTCTACTCTAAGTTAAAAATGGCCTGCAAAGTTATATCTACAAAGAATGTAAGACAACAAAAATGTTTTAGAAGAATACCAGTTGCTGCCCACATTCAGTTCTAAAAATCCAATCTTAAAAAAATGAATGAAAGATTCTAATAAATCTAGTTCATTTACCCCAAAATTCCTACCACCAACAAACAGGTGATTTTGAATTAGAATAAACACTACACAAAGGTAGAAACATTTTGCAGGAGAATCTCTTTATACATTTCCTATAAAAATTTTTTCCTTTAAAAACTGAAACCCTAACAAGATTAATGTGACTAGAAAGGAAAAAGATAATGATCCTACAAAGTTTTAGGAGTATTTTTAAAAGACAGGACTATGAAGCATTTAATGACCTAATAAAATTGGAATCTTGTAAATCAGGGAACTCCTACTTTCCCTAAATCCATAACTTTTATTGCCACATTGGCTGTATAACCAGGGATGCTGCTAACTTAAATGAGATGGTTTCTTGTTTTAAAAAACCCTGATGAGCAAAAGATGTTACAAAATGAATGCATGAGTGTTATTTACATTATACAAAGTTTCATCAGGGTTCCTTAAAAGCTGAGTCCCATGATCCAACTGACAAAAATTCAGTCTATCTATACTCTCCAGCAATTCATTTTCCTGGCTCATTTTCTCAGATAATCAAATATGACTTGTTAATGGCATTCTCACAAAAATCAAAGGCAATGACATTTCAATCTCATTGGCATGGAACTAACAATCAGTGGTCTAGAAGTAGCTCAATAGTTAAGACTTGAATTCAGAACACTCAATGCAGATTCAGTGTAATTGCTCACTGACTATATTCAGCCATTGGGGGAAAAAAAACTGCAAAAATATTTCTATTAATGCAGTGATATCTATAGTACGTAGTAACCCTCATGTTGATAGAACCTGCACACCCACCACAGAACCAGCAATAGTTGCACTTGGACTGTTGCCTAACTCTTTTTTTTAACCTGGCAAATGATTTTATTTATGTTTTCCAGCCATAAAATCTATTTTTGGAAAATCCTCTTATTTTTTGTCTAATACAATCAATTACAGACCAATTTTTAACTGTTTTGACGTTTTGCTAAGCCCTTTGGAGCTGTTCTCCAGATTGTGTTTTCAAGCCCAGTTAATTGTTTTCTACACATGAAAATATAATCACAGATTTTTATGCAAAACTCATTAGGGTTTAATCCACACAAGAGCTGCTTAGTGTTAGAAAAACACAGATAAAAAAAAGTATCATCTGCTTGCTAAACAACAGGACTGCAGCTTTCCTTTGGGAGTCTCAGTGACTTTTTTAAGAAAAATGTCATCAGCTTAAAATACTTCATGTTAATTAAATGTTACTCACATAGACAGGATGGAGGTCAACGCCATACATCTCCAGGGATTTGGCAGTCCTCAAGTAATTCAGCTCAGCTTCAGAAGGAGCCTGACCCCTATACCAGGCACAAAAACAAAGAACCCTATAGCTACTGCACTCCCAGGAATGTAAAACCATCTTCATTATATCCATTGGAAAAATAAATAATTCTTTGTACCATAGCAAACAGAAGTCTTTGTACTTCAAGAAGACCTTTGCTTCTCAGTGACAAATTTTATACTCTGAGGTGATACTATATTAAGGTAATTTCATTTACCAAAATCTATTCTTGCTCATTATAGCCTATCTCCAATGTCCCAGCAGATATTAAAAATTCTCATTTCCAGAAACCCCCAAAGAGGTTATTGAGAATATAAGCACTCCAATTAAAAAGTATCCCCTTCTCAAAGAGTAAAATGCTTCTGTGCACCAGCAACTCTCCATCAGAAGCAAAAGGAACTAAAGCAGCGGTGGGTAGGAGGATGAGAATGGGGCCCCCACCACCCAAATCGAGTCATGTCAACATCTCCTGAGAACATGTGCAATTCAAAAGTATATTTATTAACACAGAGAAGTTATTAAAATGGTGGCATTTTCTTAATACAGAGTACAGAAATATTCTCCAAATCATCACTGGTGATAATATACAGAAAACAGCATTCATTCATTCATTCATTCCTAATGAAGATAAGTATTAGGCAGGAATCTCCCTGGGTGAATTGTGTGTGTGTGTGTTATAGAGAAAGAGAAAGACAAAGAGCAAGAGAGGAAAGGTGGGGAGAGAAAGAGAGGGAGAGGGGGAGAGAAGGGTCTCGGGGGAGAGAGAGAGAGATTGAGATTTTAATGGTTAACAAAAGGAGGCATGAATCTTTAAAAATTAAGAAACCCTGCTTTGACACATTCCCTCATTTCTGCCACAGTGCACTGTAACACCCATCATATACCATAATTTTGATATCCATGCAGAATGTTCATCAATTAGACACAAGAAAGCTACCAAACCTTGATAGAGCTTTATTCCTAGAAATGACATACTGTCAACACCATCACATAAAGCATGTACAAGGGCCTTTACCCAAAGCTCCTTGATAATTTCAAAATATAATTATACTTTGAAACTCCTTGTAGAATCAGTATTCTCAGAATGTGTCAAACACGCTGTCCTTCATACTGTTACAACAAGCACTCTCTTAGCATCCACTTCAGCAAAACCTTAAAATGAAGGGCTCTGCAATCAGGCTGGAGAGCATTCTAGCGCATGCTAACACAAGATGGAGAGCCTCTTTCTGACTGCAATTCAGTAGTTGACTTCTGCTTCTATATGCAGATACTTTAGGCAAACTTTTTTTGTTGACCAGATGAATTCTACATTTTTTTCTCAATTATAATAGATACCAAGCATATTCAAGAGGGAATGTTACATAAGAGGCAATAAAGCAAAATTAATCAGTATAAAAAATTTAGTCAAAATAACTAT